TCTATGTATAAACTTGAATTAGTGTATGTTTTTGCTGTATATATTCTCAAAGACAATAACAAAATAAATTATTGAAAAACAAACCATGTGACTGTACAATACCAAAAGTTAAGCTTATTTAACTTTAAAATAAACTACTGTTATTGTTAAGTGCCATCGAGTCGGTTCTGACTCATAGCGACCCTGTATAGATTTCCAAGGAGCAGCTAGCTGGTGGGTTTGAATTGCCAACCTTTTGGTTCAAGTTCAATGCAGATTCTACAGTGCCACACCAGGAGTCCAAAGTAAACTATGGAGTTTAATTAATATTAATTGTAACAAATGTACCACAGGAATGCAAAATGTTAATAGAACAATGCATAAGGGGAGAAAGGATACAGGGGAACTCTGTACTTGTAAGTTTTTCTGTAAACATAAAACTGATCCACAAAATACAACCTATTAAAATAAATAATATATCATAGTCAAATAGATTTATTCTGAGAATGCAATGAATGGCAGCTTAACTTCCATAAAAATCTACCAATGCAAATAATTAACATAATGAACTGAAGAAAAAAATCATGAGATTGCCTTAACAAGAGAAAAAAGACCATTTCATAAAGTTCAACATCTATTTATGATTTTTAGAAAAACTTCCAGGAAACTAGGAAGAAACAGAGACTTTCTTAACTTGCCAAACTATATACATAAAACCTACAATAAACATTATACAGTTAAAAGACACAGAGTGGCAGAATGGATAAGAAAACAGGCTCCTTCAATATACTGACAACCAAATCGATTAGTGTAACTCGTACAGAAAATCTGCCTGAGCGTTTTGTTCATTTAAGAACTGTATGGGATCAAATTGACAACAGGAATTCAAAAGATTAGATAGAAACGTTAGGGGGCAGTGAGTTTGTTAATTGATTGTTGATATGTGCCGTGGAGTCAGTTCCGACTCATAGAGGAAAATTAGGAAAAGAAGAGTGAGAATGGTTGTACCACTCAAAGAATGTAGTGCATGTTCTGCTGTATATTTTTTCAACAAAATAAAATATTAAAAAGCTTTTTTTTTTTTAAAACCAAAAACAGAAT